ATCCCGGGCCAGGCCGGAAGCAGCCACGAGAGCCGGGCGCGCGGCCCCGAGGCGCCCGGGACCCCGCATTCCAGCCCCGCGGGCTCTGCGTCTGCTGAGGGCGCGGGATGCAGCCCCTCCCGCTTGGGGAGGGCCGGCTGCACGGAGGCGGTAGCCATGGCGACGCGGACCTCAACGGGGCTGGGGGTGAGGAGTGGAGTCTGGGCTGCCCTGCCCCCGCGGCCCTCACCTGCGCGCCGCGCTGGGACCGGAACTGGGAGCTTCCCTGGGATGGGAGGAGCCGGGACGGGGGTCGTGGTCCGCATTCCCAAGTGCTGGTGGTGCCGCGCCCCGGCCTTTCCCTGCCCTCCAGAGCCGGATCGCGGAGGGGCCCGCGCCCCTCCCCTGCCCGGTCAGTTCGCTAGCCACCGTCCCCCTTCCTCCCGCCTCACCCAGCGCCTGGAGCTCCCTTTCCCTTCCAGTGCCCGCTTCTATCGTCGTCCTGCCCCAACTTTCTTTACCTGAACTCCTAGGCTCCTTGTATCTCGTCTTCGTACCCGGCTCCGCCCACCGCCCCTTCTCCCAGGACTCCCCAACAACCAGCCCCTACTTCAGGCCCCTACCTCTGGCTGTTTGAGGAGAGCATGGGCTTTGGACCTGGGTTTGCGCCACCAACTAAGCCATGTAACCTGACACCCACCCCCCACCAAGCCTATTTGCTCGCCGGCATGTGGAGGTGACACCACCTCTAAGTGGGCCTGTTGAAGCCGAGCACCTCGCGGCAGAAGTGCACAAGCAAGGGCTCGTTTCTTTCTTTCCTTCCCCTACCTGTGTACCTAGACCCACCCCAAAATGAGAAGCCTTGGCAAGTCTGAGGTCCCTCAATGGCAAACACCTGGGCCTTATGAAGGGGGAAACGCTGGGAGAGGGGTTCTCTCCTGAGGCCCATTTGTGCCTTGTGCAGGGTCTTTCTAGGGGGCATGCCTAGCAAACTCAGGAACCTGGACCTGGTCCATCCTATTAGGACTTTTTGAGGATTTAGCTCAAGGCCATTGGCACAGCTTCCTGGAAGGCAATCTGAAAACCTCCGCGGCTTCCGCAGGGCTAGCGGGAGCTTCAACCAGAAGGTTCAGGTCATCCACACTGGCTACTGCCCTAAAGCTAACACCGCAGACACCGTCTTTCCACCTCCTTCCCTCTCTCAAGGGTCTTCTATCACTCTCATCTTCCAGGCTCTGTCTTTCAAATGATCTCTTCTCAACCCTCAAGTCACCCCTTCCCCCCGACTCCACTTCCAGCCCAAGTCTAGGCATTCAGCACCTTGTCTGCACCAGCATGGCAACCCCTCCCTGATTCTCTCACCCTGGCCTCTGACCTCAGAGACTGCCAAGCTGGCACCCATGTCCTCCACTCATTCTCTGCCTTATGCTCCACAGCTCCCTCACACCCATTACCACCTCAGCCAGGACAGCCAGCCCATCTCTCACCCACCTTGGCTCTCCTGCCTCTGTAGCTTGTGGTGGATTCCACTTGCCTGGAATCCTTCCTTCCCCAAATCCATTTATTCAAGTGCACACCCTTCAGGTCCTATCTTACCCGAGAGGAACCCAGAACTTCAGAACTCCTCAGTCCCCCTTATCTATAGTTATGGTACCTCCTGTACCATCAGGAGTGTGAACACTTGAGCCACAGGGGTCTTTCCATCCCATGCCATTCTGGGGAACCAATGAACACCAAGGATGAAGCAACCATATGACTGAGGGACCAAATGCTCAGGTTCAGAGAATCTAGGGGGCCATTTGGGCTATGCTTGCTCCCAAGACCAAACACTGGCTCCAGGCAGGGAGGATACCTCATGGGAAGCACTTCTGGCTCCACAGGCTCTGCTGAGTTAGCTCTGTGAGGCACAGGTGAACAAGCCCCCCACCTGCAGACCCCGCATACAGCTCTGTACACTCTGAGATATAGTTCTCTGCTACATGCCAGACCTCCAGTACTCCAACATGAGTAGAGTTCTGCCCTATAGTGCCTGTTTATTCAAGGGCACACAAGGCCACCCATGGCCATTTAGCCCAGGAGGTCAAGGGTTGCTGTTCCCTTCTGGAATGAGGTCAGGGCTTTTCAAGGCAGTCCACATGCAGCACTGTACCTCCCACCCATGGGAAGCCCCTCCCCATCACTGCATCTCTGTTCATACTATGGGTGGCCTGAGCTCTGCCCATGACTGTGGAGGACATCCCCAGACAATGTGTGTGGGAGCACACCCAGCCCATGGCACAGTGGTGCTGCCCAAAGCATTCTCTATACCAGGGACTCAGATTGGTCAACAATCCCTATAGGTATGTTCCTCGCAACATTTGTCAACCAATCCCCCAATCTCTCTTCCCTACTCTCCTCTTATCACTCCTCTGGTATTAGAACCAGGAGGTTCTCCCCACAATGAGAGAAAGTGATCCAGAAGAGGGGAAGTAATCATAGTCACTAATGAGTGTGCATCAGGTGAAGTTCCACTCACTGAAACCCCCAGACCATCTGACACAGGAAGGTCAGGCAAGTGGAGGGCAGTCCAGGAAACCCAAAATGAAAACCCAGTCCTCAGCTGGGCATACTGGCTCACACCTGTAATCCCAGCACTTTGGGAGGCAGAGGCAAGAGGACTGCCTGAGACCACAGGTCCAAGACCAGCCTGGGCAACATGGCAAGACCTTGTCTCTACAATAAATCAAAAAATTAACTGGGCGTGGTGGCACACGCCTATAGTTCCAGCTACTTGGAAGGCTGAAGCGGAAGGATTGCTTGAGCTCTGCAGGTCAAGGATGTGGTGGTCATGAGTATGCCACTGTACTCCAGCCTGGGCGCACAGTGAGACTCTGACTCAAAAAAAAGATAAGAAAGGAAAATCCAGGCCTCAGGAACGCATCCACAACAGTCCTGAAAAGAAAGGAGAGAGGGGTCAGGCTCGGTGGCTCAGCCTGTAATCCCAGCACTTTGGGAGGCCAAGGTGAGTGGATTGCCTGAGCCCGCGGGTTCAAGACTCATCCGGGCAACTTGGCGAGACCTCATCTCTATAATAAATCAAAAATTAGCCAGGCGTGGTAGTGTGCACCTGTAGTTCCAGCTACTTGGAAGGCTGAGGCCGAAGGATCGCCAGAGCCCAGCAGGTCGAGGCTGTGGTGGCCAGGAGTGGCCACTGCACTCCAGTCTGGGTGACAGAGTGAGACTCCAATTCAAAAAAAAAAAAAAAAAGAAAGGAGAGAGGAACTAAAGGGGATGATCACCCTAATTCCAAGCCCAAACTTCGAGACACAGATTTCAAATTTCAGTTGGAAAAACTCAGTCTGATGTGAATTGTTTTAAATAATACAAACTCAAAACACTTTAATTGGATATTAGCACAAAGTTTTAATATTAATGTGAATGAGCGTTGCCTACAAAGAAAAGTATTCCTGCTGGTGAGCCATCCAGATGGGGCTCCTTCAGCCTGAGGCTGTGGGCGCCCCCAAAGGCTCACTTCATCACTGGGATTTTCTAACTAAATTCACATTCACATCTACCCCCTGAGAACCTCTGGAGGAAGTTCCAGGGACTAGTTGGCCCTAAACAGCATGTAGAGCACAGGCAGTGTGACCAAAAATGTCATACAGGTGACTAGCGTGCTGTAGATGGTGTTCCTATTGACTTGGGCTTCTAGCCTTTGCTCTGTGTCTGACAGTGCCAAGATCATGCTCCCCTGCTCCAACAAGGAGCTAGGCAGATGCCTATCTACTGGCTCCCTCAGGCCTGGGTGTGCTTCGGCCTTTGCAAGCTGAACCACCCCAGCCATTTGGCTGCAAGTCTTCTCTAGGCTATCAAGCTGCTCTTGTAAACCCTCTAGACATGAATGGACCTGCCTGGAATGAGTCAGCTGCTCTTTCAAGGCAGCTAAAATGACATCAGTGTCTCTGTTGCGGGTAGGGGTAGTACCTGCCTGTGACCCAGAGCCCTCACTCTGCCCAGCATGCACCAAGCCCCTCAGGTCCACCATGAGGTCATGTAGATCCCTCTGCTGGAGGGAGTAGTTAGATGCCTGTTCTCGAATGGCCTCCTGGAGACTCACAGGCCCCTTTTGTGCCTCCAGAAGTAAGGCCTTCAGCTCCTGTAGCCGTACACGGTTCACGTAGGTGGAGCCCGCCACACCAATCAGGGCCCCCAGGACTGACCCGATGAGGGACCAGTTCTTAGTCCTCTCAGCCCTTGTGCGTTCCTTCTCGTGACTTTCCCGCACAGCCGCAGAGAAGAGGGAGAACTTCTCTCGCTCAGAGTCTTCTGCACGCAGATAAGCTGTGCGAAGCCTCTTCTCCTCCTGCAGAAGCAAAGCTGTGTTACGCAGGTGCAAGGTGTTCCTGCAGCTGTAGCCACCAGCAAATGCCCCACTACGTTGCACCTGATACAGAGTGCAGAGTCCAGAAACACATGCTGAATGAAGGAAGGCTATGTAAACCTGGTCAACTGTGGGGAGCAAAGGAATTGGGAGTGGTCATAGTAAGCTGCATGATCCCACCTGAGCATTCTTGGGTTTGACCAGAGGTGCACTGGTATCTACAAAATGTGCCTATAGGAAGGGAAGTGTCTGGTGTTCCCTCCTCAGCAATCTGGGTCCCAGACTATACTGCCTTGAATTGTTGACCCCAGTGGAGGAGGAAGTGGATGGACAAACTCTAGGAACCTGGGGCCATGTCGCTCTTCTGGCTCACCTCCCTACTAGGCCTCTGATAACTAGACGAGTCAGGGGTCCCACCCAGTCCCTCCATGACCTGCCAGGCTAGGGTCACTGTCTAGGTGAGAAAGAGCTGCCTCCTGAGGTACCTACCTGCAGCATCCTATGCTCCAGAGTAGCCAGTTCCAAGTACTGACTGTCCTCCCTGGAGACACGGTCCAACCGGTCTCGTACCTCCTTCAGCTTGGCCTGCTGGACTTCCAAGTCCTCCCGAGCCTCTCGGACAAGCCCTCGAGCCACCATGAACACTTTCTCTGCCTACAGAGAGTAAAATAGAGGCTGTCTGCCCCATCTCTCCACACCCACACAGGCTCAGCTGCATTCCCAGGGCTATGGCTATGAAGAGGTCACTGGGCTGCAAAGGGTGGGAACAGAGTCCTTTAGACACTCAGCGTACTTTACACACTCACTCAGTGGTGCTCAAAGTGCAGCCCTAGGGTACACCCATCAGAATCACCAGATTTATGTTTGAATAGAAATAACATGCTCCTGAGAAACTTGAAAACAGCTAACAATGCACACAATCTGTGTCCATCAGACCCTGTCAACTCTTGCCTGATACAAACCACAGTAAAGAACCTATGTTTTTATGCTATTTCCTATGTGTTGCCTTAGTTATGCCTCATAACAATGCCATGAATGGCACTGTGACTATCTCTAGTTTACAGACCTGGAAACTAAGCTCATGATCTCCAAGCAGGGAGACAACACCATGTATCTCAAAGCCCTAGTAGAACCCCAGGTTCTTCCCATCTTGCTATACTGCTCCATGCCAAAACAAGAGTGGGTTCAGAGATGGCAGAAAGCATTTCTGCTGCCACAAAGGGCTTGACACAGACAGCTCTTTCCACCTCATGGCATGATGTTTCCCAGCACCCTCTACCTTCACAAGGGACATGTAATTACACACAGTAATGCAACAACTTCCCAGACAACTTTCAGTCCTCCTAACAGTCAATGAGGGAAGTATTTGCTGGCCTAACAGAAAGAATGCTAATGGCCAGGGATGTATCAGTACGCAGAGACTGTTTTCAGAGAGAGTGAGCGGCACAGTTACACAGAGACCTTCATCCAGTAGTATCAGACCCAGGCTTCCACATGAGAAATAAGTCAAATCTTTCTACCAGGAATGTCTATTGTTTAAGAAAAGACAAACCTGGCCAGGTACAGTGGCTCACACCTGTAATCCAGGCACTTTGGGAGGCCGAGTTGGGAGGATCACTTGAGCTGAGGAGTTTGAAACCAGCCTGGGCAACACAGTGAGACCTCAATCTCTATTTAAAAATTAGCTGGTGTGGTGATGCACTCCTGTAGTCCTAGCTACTCAGGAGGCGGAGGAGGCCCAGCTACCCAGGAGGCTGAGGCTGATCGCTTAAGCCCAGGAGGTCGAGGCAGTAGTGAACCATGATCATGCCACTGCACTTCAGCCTGGGCAACAGAATGAGACTCCAACTTAAAACAAAAAACAAGGCAAGTGTGGCTTCCCAGCACCATGTGGCTGGTAACTTGTTTGGCAGCAGCCATCAAACCATACTTCCCAAGTCAGAAGACATGACCAACCACTCCCGGTCCCCTCCTCACCTCAGTCACGTTTCCCTGGGCCTCTCGAACCTCATTGAGTCCAACAAACTCTTCATATCTGTCCCACCAAGTTTTAGCTGTGGAGGATGCTTGTTGCTGAAGGCTGTGCCCCAGGGCTCTTCCCAGTGCTGGGAGGCGGTGATATAGCCCCAGGGCCGCCGTCTCAGGTCTTTTCTCTCCAGGCTGCCTGGGGCCTGGGCTGCAGAGAGTCCTGGTCATAAAGAGGTCCCTTCCAAGGAGGCCCCTCCGCACCAGTACATGGGGCACACCCACGATGTGCTGCATGGCAAACACAGGGCTGCACCCTGTCATCAGGTGATCTGCGAGGGGGACGCCAGACAGATCAGCTCACAGTTGAGAAAGGCTGGACATTAGTCAGGTCTCAAGGCCTAAAGGCAGTTCTGAACAGACTAATTTCCACTAAAACGGTCCAAACTGAGCACCAATTTGTTGGGCCCAGAGACTGCATCCTCTGCAGCAAGAAGATAGTCACGCTTTCCCTGGGTGCTCCTAGATAATGGAACACAGTTGGAGAAGAACTTACATAGGATATCATGCCATCCATTGTCCTCCAAGATGCCACACAAACCAGACCTTCCCATTCCACACACCTCCTTGTATCCTCTGGTCTCTCTGTTGTGACTCAGATGAGAATCCCAGTGACCAGTTTTCTGATATCAAAGAAAGTTCTCAAACCTAAGTCATATCCATGCTAACAAAGATGCCACAGAGATTCATAAAGTCTTCCTGGGAAATTGTGGCACTGAGGGGAATTCAGAAAGATTACAATCCAGGGTCACTTCTGTAAAAGATCCTCAAAACCAGCTTCCCAGACTCCCTGAAGCCTGCCTCAGCACTGGGGAAGCAGAGTTTCAATTATGAGTGAGGCCATAGGGACAGAATGCCATTCATGTCCATTGAGAAAAAAATAAAAACACAAGACAAATTTTCTTTGGTTCACACTATCCTTCTCCTTCTGCCCTTCACCCCTGACTTTCCAGGCTACCAACTCCCAGTCTCACATTTCTTACCTTCCATAAGCTTTCTCCTTCCTCTCCAACCTGAGTCACTGATCAACAGGTTAGGTTTCTTTAATCTTTCCCTTTTGAGTCATGCTTTATTTGGGTCCCAACACCTACTTCTCACTGCCTGAACAGCTCAGGGAGTCTCCTTTTACCCAGTCACAGGCCTTGCCTGAGCCCAAGAGCAGCAATGACACTGAGGACCTGAAGATCAAGAGCCAGGTGACTTACTATCCCCGGAAAAGCTGGGCCAGCAGCACCCTCCTCTGGCCAAGTCACATCAAAGCCCCCAAGGATTGATCCTGGCTGCTAGAGCAACACCTGGTGGCCAGAGAGAAAAAAGCAGAGGGAACTGGGGACAGGAAGAAACTGGAGGAGCACCAGACATGGAACAGAAAGATGCTTCCAAAAGTAAGGTGAGGTGGAACCTCTGTTCCTGCCATAGCATCCCAGCCTCTTTCCCATCATGCCATGCTGGAAACTGTCTCTATGGAAACTCAGGCTTTCCTGAAAACAAAGTTGGTTGGATTGGGGCATGCATTCTGGTTAATGTGGGCCTGAGCTGAGACCCACAGAAAGGGGACATTCCTATGATAGGGGTTCCAAGCTGATACCACACCCAAACCTCTGGGCCCCACTCATAAAGCTGGGTTCTGTGCACCCAGTAATGTATACCATCCGTACCACAACAGTCAGGCCAGCCTCCCAGGCCTCAACGCCAGCACCCACAACACACAGGCTGTAACCCCCTAACAACCCTATAGGTATATCCTTCATAAAAGCAAACAAAGCCGGGCTTGGTGGCTCAGCCTGTAATCCCGCGCCTTGGGAGGCTGAGGTGAGTGGATTGCCTGAGCCCGCAGGTTTGAGACCCGCCCGGGCAACTTGGCGAGACCTCATCTCTACAATAAATCAAAAAATTAGCCGGGCGTGGTAGTGCGTGCCTGTAGTTCAGCTACTTGGAAGGCTGAGGCAGAAGGATCGCCGGAGCCCAGCAGGTCGAGGCTGCGGTGGTCGGGAGCGGCCACTGCACTCCAGTCTGGGCGACCAAGTGAGATTCCAACTCAAAAAAAAGCAAACAAAGCACACAGCACCACCAAGCCCAGCACCCACTCTCCTTCCCAGCAATGCTCAGCAGAAAGGTGAGGTTTCTTTAATATTTCCCTTTTGAGCCTTGCCCGAACCCAAGAGCAGCAGTGACTCTGAGGACCCCGAAGATCAAGAGCCAGGTGACTTATTATCCCAGGAAAAGCTGGGCCAGCAGCACCCTCCTCTGGCCAAGTCACATCAAAGCCCCCAAGCATTGATCCTGGCTTTATCTGCCATGACTGGCACCACTTCCTCACCACCCTTTCCTCTTGATCCCACTGCATGATCGAGGCTCAAAATTTTCACCTTGCTAGATCCAGCAGGTGCTTCTCAGATTTCTTCTCCAGTATCTCTGCAGCTTTCAATACCTTTTCATCCTGAAATCACTGCTCCCTCTCGGTTTCTACCAACCTTCTCCACCTCCTTTCCCAGCCCCTCCTCTACCAGTCACCCACTCTTAGACCTCAGGAAGGTCATCCATTCCTGGCAGAGATGACAGCTACAGTATCCTGTGCAATCTTGGCCTCCTCCCCTGCCCCTCAACAGCCTGCTCTGCACATGGCAATCAGAGGCTCTTGTTAACACATAAGTCAGATTACAACTCTGTTCAAAGTCACACAAAACTCCCATCTCACCTGGTATGAACACCAGTCACGGCAGTGGCCAACAAGCCCCGGTACCTTTTAGCCCTCGTCCTCTTCTTTCTATCGCCATATTCTGCCTCAACGAACCTGCCATGCTGATCTGTGCCCTGCCACCTCCTCACGTAAACGACTCTTCCTCAAGTCGACTTGAGACATCTACGTATATCTTTGCTCAAACATCACTCCTCTGAAAGGCTTCCTGGACCACCCCATCTAGGCCCAACCCCTGGCCTATCTCTTAGCCTCCATGATGTCCCCACTGACAGATCTCACAGTCCCCTTAATAAACAAGAGGAAGAATGTTCCTAGCAAAGGGAATAGGCAGAAGGCACTTGAGGTTGCCCAAAATGTGAAAGGCAGCCAGTACAGCTGGAAAGTAAAAGCAGAGAGAGAGGATGAAGGAGGGCTGGACAGGTGGTGAACAGTCCTCAGGGCCAGTTCAGAATCTTGCCCCCACAAATCCATTCCCCCACTCCATACAGATGACTATCTCCTACCAATTGCCCTTCCTCGAAACTCCATCATCTGTACCTCATCCTACTTACAGTCAATGGCTTGCTTCATTTTTCCCCAAGAAAATAATCAAAGGGTCAGGCAAGGTGGCTCATGCCTTTAATCCCAGCACTTTGGGAGGCTGAGGCAAGAGGACTGCCTGAGCCCATGGGTTTGAGACCAGCCTGGGCAACCTGGTGAGATCTCATCTCTACAATAATAAAATTTAAAAATTAGCTGAGCGTGGTGGTGCACACCCGTGGTTCCAGCAACTTGGAAGGCTGAGGTAGAAGGATCGCCTAAGCCTAGCAGGTCGAGGCTATGGTAGCTATGATTGTGCCATTGCACTCCAGCCTGGATGACAAAATGAGACTCTGACTCAAAAATAAAATAAAATAAAAAATTGAAAGAGAACTTCTACAAACTCCCATCATTCCTTCCCAAATGCCAGTGCCTGCCCCATTTCCACCCTCTCTCTTGATCCTCAGGATGAAAAGTCCATACTCCTAAGGAAGACCAGCTTGCGCCCCAGGTCCCATGTCCTCTCCCCTCCTCAGATATTGCTCAGTAATTGATCTGAGCCACCCTTTCCAGAAACTGCTGCATTTCTCTGTTCTTCTTTACAAACTCTTTGTCAGACTGAATTCACTATCTTCATTCCTCTTCTTCCATTGTCTCTAACCCTCTCTGATCCGGCCTTCACTCCCACCACGCTGCTGGAGCTGCTTCTGTCCAGGTCACCTCCACAATGCTAAATCCAATGATCAGTTCTCAGCCCTCATCTAACCTGCCCTGTCAGCAACCTGTGCCTTGCGATAGCACCCTTCTCCTACAAATGCCATTTTCACTTGGTTTCCAGTCCACGCTCATCTCTCTAACCTCTGGACACTGCAGGGCCCCAGGACTTGGTACTCAGACTCCTCTCTCTTCCAGTCCTGTGACTTTAAAAATAATCTATAGCCGGGCTCGGTGGCTCAGCCTGTAATCCGCGCCTTTGGGAGGCTGAGGTGAGTGAATTGCCTGAGCCCGCGGGTTCGAGACCTGCCTGGGCAGCGAGACCTCATCTCTACAATAAATAAAAAAATCAGCCAGCCATAGTGGCGCATGCCTGTAATTCCGGCTATTCGGAAGACTGAGGCGGAAGGATCGCCGGAGCCCAGCAGGCCGAGGCTGTGGTGGCCGGGAGCGGCCACTGCACTCCAGTCTGGGTGACAGAGTGAGACTCCAACTCAAAAAAAAAAAAATCTATAAAAATATTCTAAAATGTATTTTAGTGATGGTTGCACAACTTTGTAAATATACTAAAATCATTGAATTGCACACATTAAGTGAGTGATGTATGGTATGCAAGTTATATATCAATAAAGCTATTATTTAAAAAACAAAACAAAAAACTATACTCCGACTTCCTTAGCCAAGACCTCTCCTCAGGATTTCAGGTTCATTTACCAAAATGCCCAACCCATATCTCTGCTTGGAAATCTAATGGGGCCAGGCATGGTGGCTCACGCCTAAATCCCAGCATTTTGGGAGGCTGAGGTGAGAGGATTGCCTGAACCCATGGGTTTGAGACCAGCATGGGCAACTTGGCAAGACCTCATCTACGATAAATTTAAAAATTAGCCAGGCATGTTGGCGTGTGCCTGTAGTTCCAGCTACTTGGAAAACTGAGGCAGAAGGAACTCCTGAGCCCAGCAGGTCGAGGCTGCAGTGGCCATGAGCATGCCACTACACTCCAGCCTGGGCAACTGAGGGAGGCCCTGACTCAAAAAAAAAAGGAAATCTAATGGGAATTTTATCTTCCTCTCTCAGTCCTGCTTTTCGCACAGCCTTCTCCATCACAGCTGACAGAAATCCCAAGTCTAAATGCTCGGGCAAAAAACTTGGCATCATTCCTGACTCCCCCGACTTTTCTTTCCCATTTCACATATCCAATCTATGAGCAAACGCCACCCACTTTCTAAATCCAGGATCCCTTCTTCTCTTAATTCTTCCACTGCTACCAAATGGTCCCAATGACCAACATCTCTTGCCTGATTGTCCCAAGAGCTTCCTGATGGGTGTCTTCCTGCTTACAGTCTATTGTCAACAGAGCAGCCAGTAGTCCTTTCAAAACACAGGTAAGACCATTTCTCTCTCTGCTCAAATTCTACAATGGTTCCCCCATTTCTCTCAAGGTAAAAGCCACAGTCTTTTCCACGGCCCACGGGGGATCCACCCCCTGGCTCTCATTTCTCTCTGACCTCATTCCCACTAGTCTTGGTTCCTTCACTCCAATCACATGTACCTTCTTAGGCTTAGTTGCTGGAGTGAACTAAGCCTAGCTCCACCTTAGGTCCTTCACAGCAGCTGCTATCTGTGCTGCTTGCTCCCTCTCCTTCAAGTCCTGCTCAAATGTCATCTCCTGGGGAGGTGTTCCCTGTCCACCCTATCAGACACAGCCATCCCACCTCCATCCTAGCACTCCTTAACCACTTTCCTTGCTTCATTTTCTCCATGCACGTATCGTTACTTGCTTTGCTTAGAGCCTGTCTCACTCACTGGAATGCAGCTCTGCCAGGGCAGGCAGTTTTGTTCACTGCTGTATCTCCAGTGGCTAGAATACTACCTACACGTAGTACATACTCAACACAACATGTACTGAATGAATAAACAGAATTCTCCAACAGTTGCACCCCGACTATACAATAAAACCCAGACCCTTTCCAGTGACGTCCAAAGCTCTAGGACCAGATGATCTGCCTCCCGCCGTCTTCGGCCACCTCCCCACCTATCGTCCTTCAGCCACGCTGCGCTTTCCTCGGTTCCAGGAACGCGCCGAGTTTCAAGGTCTGCACGTACCCTTCCTACCCTTCCCTATACCTGCAGTGTTCTGCACGGCCACAGGCTTGGGACTTTACGGTCAAGTATCTCTCCTGCGGTTCCGGATCCTACCCTGGCAGAATGACCCTCCCTCCTAGTACCTGGCGAGCCTGTAGCGCCAGTCGCAACCCCGACAGAGCGTAGGCCATTCAGCTGACCTCTGACCTGTTAGTGCCCGCCCTAGGGAGCCGCATCCGGTAGCGGGAGTCCAACTTCCTGACTAGGAGCCAATCAACGGGTCCGCGTCGCTGTATAGGAGCAAGGGTTGGGGGCGGGAGCTAGGTTTCCGGTGGCAGGGTCTGGGGAAGGGGCGGTAGGAACCATGTCCGGCCGGGAAGGTAAGTGTGTTGGGCAGTGGGACAGGTGCTGGAGCAGGTGGGACAGGGCCCAGGCCGCAGGGATGGGCTGAACGTGCTCATGTCGTCCACAGGTGGCAAGAAGAAGCCCCTGAAACAACCCAAGAAGCAGGCCAAGGAGATGGACGAGGTGAGGGGGGGCGCGGATACGCGGGCGGGCGCGGAGGGACTGGCAGACAGGCCTGGAGTGAACCCGTTCTGCCTCTCCTTAGGAAGATAAAGCTTTCAAGCAGAAACAAAAAGAGGAGCAGAAGAAACTCGAGGAACTAAAAGCGAAGGCCGCGGGGAAAGGCCCCCTGGGTAAGTAGGGGCCGAGTGTCGCTCAAGCCAACCAGACGCTCTGAGCACCTGTTGGGATGAGGGCACGGGCCTGTGATTCCAGCCTCGTGTGCTGGGAGATCTCGTTTTTTGGCGTCAGTAGCAGCGCATAGCCCTAACCAGTCTTAAATTTGCAGCAGTGGGAAGGGGTGGGAGCTAGAACCGAGAGCTAATCTGAAGTACACAACAGTATAGCTCCAGGTGCACAAAATCTCCTGCCTCCCAGGCTGTCTGGGCTTCCATTCCAGAGAGAAGCTGCAAAAATGGAAACATAGACATGTATTTACCTCAGACACAGATTCATACAGTTCAGTCTCTAAATATCTTCCATGATTTCGTGCCCCAAGTTCGTATTTCATTGCCTTATATTGTTTAAACATTACTTGACTTACAACTTTTATTTTATTTTTTTAATTCAGGGTCTCACTCTGTCACCCAGGCTGGAGTGCAGTGGCACGCTCAAGGCCACCGCAGCCTCAACCTGCTGGGCTCAGGCAGCCAAGCCTTCCAAGCCTTTCAAGAAGCTGGAACTACAGCACACACCACCACATCCAGCTGATTTATTTATTTATTTATTGTAGAGACGAGGTCTCGCCAAGTTGCCCAGGCTGATCTCAAACCCCTGGCCTCAAGCAATTCTCTTGCCTCGTTCTCCCAAAGTGCTGGTATTACAGGCGTGAGCCAGTACGCCTAGCTACTTTTTTACTTATTGCACATAGTAGAGATATTAAATGCTTTTACATATTTTCTTTTTTTTTTTCTTTTTTTGGAATCGTAGTCTCATTCTGTTGCCCAGGCTGGAATGCAGTGGCATGCTCATGGCTACCATAGCCTCGACCTGCTGGGTTCAGGTGATCCTTCTGCCTTTCAAGTAGTTGGAACTACAGATGCATGCCACTATACCCGGCTAATTTTTTGATTTATTGTGGGGACGAGGTCTCGCCAAGGTGCTCCTGGGCTCAGGCAATCCTCTTGCCTCTGCCTCCCAAAGTGCTGGGATTACACAGTGGCTTGAGTCACTGCCCAGCCCCTCTCCTGAGTCTTTTCAAGTCTGTGTATGCCTAGACTAAAAGATAAAGACCAGGCTTCTTGATGTGCTACTGCTCCATATGCTTTGCCAACCTGATCCCCCACCTTTTTGCCTATTTTATGTAAGAGGAACTGGTTACATTTCAATAGATTTTCAGGCCCAGCAGTCCTAGTACATTATGGGCTTCTTAAACACTTTTACAATAATCAGGAGTGATTATTCCCTCCAGATAGTTGTCTATGCCTTGTTTGACCATGGTGAGCCACACTGTGCATGATGGAGACAAGCATGGTGGGAGTGTTATACAGAACTTCCTGAGATCTCTCTCCCAGTGGGTTAAAACCATTGTTGTTTACCCACACAGCACTAAGATTTTAGCTATTGAGATTCCTTTTTGGTTGGGAGGCTGAGGTGAGTGGATTGCCTGAGCCCACAGGTTCGAGACCCACCTGGGCAACTTGGCGAGACCTCATCTCTACAATAAATCAAAAATGAGCCAGGTGTGGTAGTGCGCGCCTGTAGTTCCAGCTACTTGGAATGCTGAGCAGAAGGATCGCTGGAGCCAGCAGGTCAAGGCTGCGGTGGCCGGGAGCGGCCACTGCACTCCAGTCTGGGTGACAGAGTGAGACTCCAACTCAAAAACAGAAAAAGAGAGATTCCTTTTTGGAATGATAAAAAGTGCCATGCACATCCCCCCCACCCCAACACACTTTTATTTTTCTTCTGGGTCAGGAACCTTCCCTCAAACCTTTGGGCTCAAGCAATCCTCCTGCCCCTCAACCTTCCAAAGTGCTGGGATTATAGGTGTGAGTCACTGCACCCAGCCTAAAGTTGTTTTTTTTTTAAGTTTTATTTACTTATTTATTTTGAGTCAATGTCTCACTCTGTCACCCAGGCTTGGAGTGCAGTGGCACAGTCTTGGTACTGCAGCCTCAACCTGCTGGGCTCAGGCAATCCTGCCTCAGCCTTCCAAGTAGCTGGGACTACAGGTATGCACCACCACATCTAGCTAATTCCTTTATTTATTGTAAAGATAGGGTCTCACGCACTTGCGCAAACTGGTCTCAAACCCCTGGACTCAGGCAATCCTCTTGCCTCTGTCTCCCAAAGTGCTGGGATTACAGGTGTGAGCCACTGTGCCTAGCCATTTTGTCACAGCCTTTTGGATCTTCGTTCCTGAATTAGGCATACTTAGTTCTACACCTATTTTTTAAATTATCTACTGTGTGCCATATATATTGTCATTTGTAAATTGGTAGAGTAAACTAATTCCCAGGATCATAATGTGGAAAGCAGTGTAGTACAATGCAACAGTTACAAATGTGGACTTTGTGTCTATAATCCGAGCAATTTGGGAGGCTGAGATGGGAGAATCATTTCAGCCTGGGCAATATAGTGAGACCTTATCTCTACAAAAAGTTAGCTGGATATGGTGGCACATGCCCATAGTCCCAGTTACTTGGAAGGTTGAGGCGGGAGGATCACTGGGCCCAGGAGGATAAGGCTGCAGTGAGCCAAGATTGTGCCACTGCACTCTAGCCTGGGCAACAACATGAAAAGAAAAGAAAAGGAAAGAAAAGAATGTTAACTTTGAAGTCAGACTACCCAGATTGGAATGCTGGTTTGTTACATACTTTGTACAACACCTAATACTGAGACTTCTTTATCTGTAAAATGGGTTAATCTGTGAAGTACACGACATTGTACTTCACAGATTAACCCATTTTACAGATAAAGCTCATCCTCATTCTACCTTTGCCCAGAATAGACAGTATCATGAAGCCACTGCATGCCTGTGTTAAAGTGAATGCCCAGTACAAGTGCCAGGCCTTACTAGGATCCACATTAGGCCTATGGGGTTTCTACCATAAGAACTATATTTTTCCCTAACTGTGATTTTCCTTTTGCAGCCACAGGTGGAATTAAGAAATCTGGCAAAAAGTAAGCTGTTCCTTGTTCCTGAAGCCATGATGACTCTTGATTCCATTCATATTTAAACATCCGTATTCCCTGACATAACTTCTTTTGCCACCTATAGCTAGAACGAAGTGTTGTCTTGAAGCCTGTTGTACATTTAAGAATAAACTTTTATAAAAAATCATCGTCATTATCTCTTTAGTTGTTTTCACTCAGTCATTCCTACCTTAACTGTGAATTTAAAGAAGTTCCATCCCAGAATCCTGCCAGAGTCTGCTCTTTGATCTTTGTTCTACCCTAAAATCTTTGTCACCAACCAGTTTGAAAGGATGTTGTTGTGTGGTTATATACCTGATGGAACACTTTACGTAGGTTAATGGAAAATTTTTCCACTTTGGAAAGAAAACCTATCTTTCTGTTATAACATGTTTTGATGGAATTGTTCATCTGTTCATGTAAGCAGTCTGCTATGTGCAGGCACTGGGGCATATACCAGCGAACAGCTCTTGTTGTCAAGGAACTTCTCTATTATAGCAGGGGATCAGGGCAAATTATAAGCACTATGAAACAAGGGGCTGGAGAAGAGAGATTCTTGAAAGTCTCTGAGAACTAGGTTCCCTCAGAAGCCCTTAGGACTGTATTTCCACTAGGGCTTCAGAAAGGTCTTGGCTGGGTTCCCATGTTTTAAACTCCACAGGCAATTCATCAGTGAAATAAAATCTGGCCTCTTCATATTCCTGCCAATACCATATCCCCATTCTAATCCTATAAATCCTTCACCTGGATTACTGCAGTCACCCAAATTTCTCTATTGCAGCCGAGCAGTGGCTCTTGCCTGTAATCCCTGCACTTTGGGAGGCGGAGGTGAGAGGATTACCTGAACCCAGGGGTTCGAGACTAGCCTGAGCAAATTGATGAGACCTTGTCTGTACAATAAATTGCTGAGGTGAGTGGATTGCCTGAGCCCGCTGGTTCAAGACCCGCCTGGGCAGGCGAGACCTCCTCTCTACAATAAAATCAAAAAATTAGCCGGGCGTGGTAGTGCGCGCCTGTAATTCCAGCTACTCTGAAGGCTGAGGCGGAAGGATTGCCGGAGCCCAGCAGTTCGAGGCTGCGGTGGCCGGGAGCGGCCACTGCACTCCAGTCTGGGCGACAGAGTGAGACTCCAACT